ATTATGTTGTTCTTCCTCGGTGGGCAATGCTCTTTCAGAACAGATGGTCTGCAATTCGTCCCTTTGGCCTTCGTATCCGGGCATAACTGGCTGAATTGGGTCTGTCCTTTGATGATATTCATGTCCCCAATGATCAGCTCATTCCACCATGGTTTATTACCATCCCATCCTGTGACCTTTCCTTGAGTCATCTGGGGAAGACGGATACTACCGATTGGAAGTACCGTCTTCTTTTTGCTGAACATAAGGGAAGAGAGGAATGGTTCGAAAATTTACACGGATAGTTCAAAATCAGGTGACTCTGTAGGTTCTGCCATGGTTTGCTGTGGCTTGGTAGTTGCTCGCACGATCCCCTCTACAGTTTCTGTGTTCACTGCCGAGTTATATGCTATTTCTCTTGCCCTGGATCATGTAGAAGCTATGCAGTACAGTAATTGTACTATTTACACTGATTCCTTTAGCTCTATACTGGCCCTTGAATCGCTTAACGTTAGTTCTCACCCTGTTCTCGTCGATATTCAACACCGATTGGCCCACTTTTCTCTATCTTCTATTTCCATCCAGTGTTTCTGGATCCCTGGCCACGTCGGTATTCACGGGAATGAGCTCGCTGACACCGCAGCTAAGTCCGTCTGCTCTGGTGCCATCACGGCCGTGCCTGTCCCATACATGGACTACGGTCCTGTCTTCAAGGCACAGCTTCGTGCCAGTTGGCAGTCGACTTGGAGTGAGCAACGCCATAATAAGCTTTTCTAGATCAAACCTTCTGTTGGTCTTTGGCCGTCTTGCTTCCGTAAGGATTGGAAGGAAGAAGTAGTCCTGGTAAGGCTACGCATTGGTCATAGCTTTTTAACCCATCGTTTTCTTTTATCAGGTATTGACCCACCGATGTGTAGCCATTGTGACACTCAAGTCACAATAGCCCACATTTTACTGTCGTGCCATCGTTACGACTGTGAGCCACGGCACCATTTTAGACACATTTTTTCTTAAAGTTTACCCCTGACGCTGGACAGTGTCATTGGTAATGGTGACACTGTCCGATTAGATTGTATTTTTAATTTTTTACACACTATACGTCTTTTTAATTCTATATAAATCTTTTACCGACATGTATTGGTTTTAACTTGCTGTATTTTTACATTTTACTTTCATTGCTTTTACCGGTTGTTTGGCGCAGATAGCCTAGTTGCTTTGCGCCATAAATCACCAACCAACCAACCAACCAACTTGGCCCATTTTGTGAAGAAATCACTGACCATGAGTATATACAGGTGACCACATTTTGTCCTTGGGAGCAGACCAGTGATGTTCATGGCTATTGTTTCCAGAGGAGAACCACCAATTCTTTGCTGGCCTTTTTTCTGAGTGGCACACAGCATACAGTGTTAACACTAGCCTTGAATGTTTTGACTCGAATGCAGCCCAAAGAATCACTGTTGAATGTGGGCACAAATATGTGTAACACCTTGGTGTTCTCCATTCTTTGTGTCATGCGAATACTGGAGAATCTTGTGCTTCAAAACTCTGAGGTCCACAAGCTGTAACACATACTGAGAGCCACTGCTTGGTAGTTGATAACAATAGTACAACACTTAACTGCTCATAACATAGGTTATTTGCATCCATGCTAAATTCTTCAATCTGTGCTGGTCATATTTTACCTTGCTGCAAGGCAAGGAGCACCCAGGCTAGTTTCTGGGTCCTTCTCAGTCAGGTTGTTTTTGCACTATACTTACTGGCTTACAGAGACTTACCACTGCTCAGTGTCCACTTATTATTCCATATTGGCATATATCATCCACTGGTGCCCACTGTCTCATCTATTGATGAGGTAGCTCATTTTGGTTTTCTGATTGCTGGGTTTTCCACCAGGTTGTTTTGGCACTATACCTACTAGCTGAAAGAAGTTCACCACTTCTCCATGGTCCACCTACCTAGGGTTGAGTTTTGCCAAGTTGTTTTGGTAGCTTGTGTTAAGGGATAAAATATGGTTGTTGAAAGCCTAGGAGTCCAATAAAGACCACCCCATTTGGTCTCGGGAATGACTGTCTTACAGTTCCATCTGTCTTAAGTGCCCATAGTTTCACCCGCCGATGAGGTAGCTTGTGTTGGCATGTCATCCACCAATGGTACCATCAGTTTCTCTCTGATGGTTTGCTCTGTTTACCACCAGGCTGTTTTGACACTATTCTTACCAGCTCAAAGAGGCTCACACTGACCCTCAGTAAACTCACTTCACCATTCAATCGTCATCATCTCACTTGCTGATAAGGTAGCTTGTGTTGGAATATGTCATCCAACAAAGGTACTATCAATTTCTTTCTGATATTCTTTGCTAGCTTTGGCTGGAGCTAGGGTTTGTTTTTTTCTGGTTGGCGAAGGTCTGGTAATCTTATACAGACCACTTTAATTGGTCTCAGACCCACAAAAAACCATATAATCTCTACAACCCTTGGTCATCCATGTTTCCCTTGCACAGAGATTGCTCCTCAGCGGAAGAATATGAACAGCTATTATGGGTACATCAGATATAAGCAGTTCTCTGTACTGAGTCATTGGCTGTATTGGCATTGAAATCTGACATTCAGGAAAGGACTTTTCCCTGACTAAACAACTCTTATACAACCATCTTCCTTCAGTGACTGACTCTCAATCTTTGTCATAAGTCCTTCAAGCTGTGTAAAATTCCATTTCCATTAATACAATGCCCTTTTAAACTTAAAACACAAGAGTTCAAATAAATGGCAGTACACACTTCAACAAACTCCACAGTAAGTTGTCCTGTATTTATGACACTAAAATTTTCCTTCCTATCCACTGACTGATTTATTCAAGTAAGCTCAAACAGAATAATGGAAGATTCTATCAGGATACGTATTAAATAATAATAATACTGAAGCTGAGTAACTGGGTTGTGAGAATGAAATAAAGAAATTAGCATAAATTAAGATATGAAATGAACAATCTTTATTAAAACACTAGACACAAACTCGGTGTGTGTGTGTGTGTGCTTGCTTTGAATGTTGGATTGTCATTTTAAGTGGATCTTCCTTCAGACTACTTACTCCTCAAGATCATGTGAAAGACTGTCTAAATGTAAGGTTCCTTGCTTTGTAAGAAACGTTGTATTTACTTAGAAAGACTAGTGCTATCCACGTGGCTGATAATTCTCATTTATACGTAGGTTAGGCTATAACTCCGAAACACCACCTGTTTTACCACTGAAGGACATTGCTATCAATATTCTTGAAAAAAGGCAACTAAAATGAGATAAACTTAATGCTTTCTTAGCCATGTGTTATGTGAAATCTGCACATATATATTAGAATAAAGGATAAATTCAAAATATAAACTATTAAGGTACAATGAGATAGAAATGCATTGTATATTTATATATCACACATGTATATAATTTTCATAAAGCAAACAGTGTTTTTACTGTTGCTTTACATTTAAAGTATAAGAAAACATCTTGAATCTATTTAGAATCCAGGATAGACAAAAAGTTTTATTGTGTGTTTTTCCTGTATTGTAGTGATACAAGAATGTGTATGAGATATATAGCCTACTGGGGAGGAAAAAATCACATAGTATTTATTGGTGACTCAAGATTGCGGCACATTTACTACAAACTTGTTGACACTGTCAGGACGAAGGAAGAGAAAGAAGATGAGTCTGCACATAAAGACCTTCATTTCTCAGATCCTGATCTCAGATGGAATTTGGTGTGTATAATGCATTAATTTTTTTCACTTTATTTTATTTTTGTTTTCTGTTTGGATGTGCCATCCAGTATAATTTTTGTTTCATGTACATGCACAAGTTACAGCAATCTTATAAAATCTCAATAAAATATTCAAAATAGTTTAACATCTGAAGTTTTAGACAGTATAAATAATATAAAAATGTGGAGTTTTATATTAAATGTTCATTCATTCTCCAAATCGATTTTCTCTGCTTTACTACAACTTTCAAGATGTTTGTGTTGTGTTGCTATTTTACAGCCATACAGTTTTCACAGATATAAAAACCTCTTCAGATTGTTGCAATTCTTAACTTACTATAACTCTAAGAGTTACTGGTTTGCAGTAGTAATAAGAATTGCAACAATCTGAAGAGGTTTTTATATCTGTGAAAACTGTATGGCTGTAAAATATAACTCTAAGAGTTACTGGTTTACAGTAGTAATGTATCTGAAAATAGATGCTCAACAAACAATATGAAAATCATATATGTTGTTAAAAATGTGCCTTAAACTGAATATCAGATACTCTTTCAATAGATTAAACATTAATTCACAAGCTATATGAAAAATTATTAAGAACATAAAAAACATACACAACCTCTCCTCTCAAGATGTAATTATCTTTAATTAAAAAATTCAAATGTATTTCGAAAGAGTTGTTTTTTATAAAGTGAGATAGTGATATTCTCAGGTGCACTGATTTCCCTTAACCCTACAATGATGACACCATTTTTAAAACCATTTCTGTGCATGTTACTGAGTTACATTCAATCAAACCACTTTACTGTCAATGTATTTTAATTAAATTATTTTTTATCAAGTACATTATCATTCAGAGTTTTATTATCTCAGATTTTATTCCTTTATTTCAAAAGAAACCTCTAAAACAATAATTAAAACTGCAGTTTTTTTGTGTGGGTGCCACTGTGGTTACAATTATTAACTTTAAGAGCTGGTATGGAAGAAACTGCTGTGTGTATAATTTAGATGTTTCTGTTCACATGGTCAAAGTACACCCTATTTAGCTTGTTTACAAATAATTTAAGTACTTTCCGAGAACTTTTGTCCCAAAGCAAATCATTGTAAAAGTTCCTCAGTTTGAGATAAGCTATTCCCACTTGCAGAGTAAAAACTGTGTTACCAAGCAACGGTTTGAAATTGAATGGCATATTTATAACCAATAGAAAGAGAAGATTTTGCAGAATCTTTCCTGTAAATTATCTTCTACCTACTGCGATGTTAATGTTGACTACGTAGGCATACAGTTTAACATTGTATATTGTTGACTACATAGGCATACAGTTCAACATTGTATATTGTTGACTACATAGGAATACAGTTCAACATTGTATATTGTTGACTACATAGGCATATACGGTTCAGCATTGTATATTGTTGACTACATAGGCATACAGTTCCAGAGTATATTGTTGACTACATAGGCATACAGTTTAACATTGTATATTGTTGACTACATAGGCATACAGTTTAACATTGTATATTGTTGACTACATAGGCATACAGTTCAACATTGTATATTGTTGACTACATAGGAATACAGTTCAACATTGTATATTGTTGACTACATAGGAATACAGTTCAACATTGTATATTGTTGACTACATAGGCATACAGTTCAACATTGTATATTGTTGACTAAATAGGCATACAGTTCCAGAGTATATTGTTCAACATTATTGTTTCTAGCTTTTTGCTGTTTTTCTCACCTTATACATATCAGTTTGATACGTAGTTAAATTGCATTTAGGGTTTACTTTTATGTTTTAGTTAATTATGTATTATTTGTGTTTGAAAAGTCATAATCAAAAAGATTAATGATTTTTTAAGTTTATTCTATGCTTTGCCTAGCTCAACCAGCTTTCATAAAGTTTGCAAGTGCAACCATCATTTTGTCAGGAGCTAAACCATCTCTGTTTGTGTTAATGATCTATTGCCCACAGGCACCTGTTGATGTGTTTCGACATAAATAAAGATAAAGAAAATGAAATGAAAATAAACATTAAATATTAGTGAAAATATAAAGTTGTGAAATTATGCACATGAGCCAAAGAAGATATTTTAAGATTATTCAATGAAGAGATAAAAGGTATGTTAATTGTTAACATTTCATTACACTGTAAGTTGATGATAATAGCTATATTTAGTGATGTTGTAGAGAAAAATATAAACATATACCTTAAATCACTTTTGATGTTCATTTAGGAGATTCTAGAGATTATGAAAGTGAAATATGAAAATTGTAAGATAAAAAAAGAGTACTTGTATACCTAACATGAAACCAAATATGAAAATTATATTTGGCCTGAATAATAGCTATATTATGAGGAGTAATTTACAATAAATTCTGTACTTCTTGGAAGGGTGTTAAATAAATTAGATGTCAAGATTCTCATACTACTGGAAACTGAGGATTTTTAAAATATTTCATTATAAAATTAAGAACTTAAAACTTATATTTTATTACAATTTGATTTATTAACTATGTTTGGATGTTAAGTTTATTCATAAATTGGTAATACACTAGGTTGATTAAATTTTGAATGTAACTGTGCCAAAAGCCAGTTGCAAGATGGAGGAAAGAGAGAAAATGTCCTATTAGGGAAGATTGAGGATTTTTTAAATATTTCATTATAAAATTAAGAAATTAAAACATATAATATTTATATTTAGATTATTAGTTATGTTTTGATGTGATGATAATAAATTTGTTTAACCCTTTCTCCATGGGCATCTTTTTCTGTACGTGTCATGTGGTTTTAGTGAGTTACATTCAAAATTTAATTACTTTTTTTATGGTATACCAGCAAATATAGCATAAAAACTTAGATAATAATTCATATTGTAATATTATGTACATTTTTGTAAGATCTTAGTCTTATAAGGCAATGTTAAAAATCGTGAATTTCCCATTTTCTCCTCAGGCATCTCCTCTTCTTTAATTTATGTACCATCCCTTCAAGAAGTATGAAAGTTAACGTAAATTACTTATTGTAGTATCGTCATTGCCCAGGCAAAGTATAATTTGTATAACCTTCAATCTTATATAGTTACAGAGCCATGAAATACAGTCAGACCCCTCCTGCCATGCCCACCTGTAACATCATCTCTTTAAGGAATTGCTAATAGTTCTCTGTGAGATTTATTCCTATATTACTTATAATCAATAGAAAGCCAAGGTTTTCATTTATCAAATGACATATTATATTGCTTTATTTTCTGTAAAAAATTGTCAATTTTGCTTTCAGTTCAAGCATTATTCTACGGGAAACACATTGACAATCTTAGATGAATTTTTAATGGTTCTTGTTGCATAGTTAGAAAGCCAGAAAAATTGTGGTAGTTATGTTCTTTAGTGCATTACTTAACTAAATAAAATAAATATTTAGTGCAGTACCACCATTACTATAAAAAAAGTAGGGTTTAGTATCATTAACAGTCAACAAAAAAAAAACCAAGCAAGCACTGCATTTTTTTTGTGTATTCTTTATTTATTATTGTAAAAGTAACTAAATTGTAAACATGAGAAACTTTTTAAGTTAGTTAAGGCTAGATTAGGTGAAATAAAGAATACTAATAATATAAAATAAATTTTTCATGAGGTATGCTTGCAAGTTGCTCATGCATAATGTAAATCGATAGCAAAACATTAGCTGCACATTTGCCAAGTGATTTACAACTTATAAATGGTGTGAATAGTAGTTAGACATGGGTCAAAGGGCAATAAACGGTAAAATGTAAGTAACAATAGATGTATACTGTTACAGGTTTAGAACTATTTGGGATAAACAAATGTAGTTTATTGTTGCAATTGGAAGTCATTCTAGTAAGAAAAAAGGGTAATTTAGATTTATTTCCATTTTTATTTGTTTTTTGGTGGTTACAAGTTGGTCAAATTGACCAACCTTACATAAAGATAGAATAGAAAAAGATAAAATATAAAAAATGTTATTGAAAAAACATTTGAAATGTATTTAGTAGGTTTTAGACATTAAGCAAATGAAATTTAAGATTTTTGAGATGAATAAAAGTAATTTTGATTTTAATGTGGAAATCACTTTGCACTTGGCCTAGTAAAAGCAATGTTGTATGTATATTTACAGACAAGTCTTTAGTAAATATACATCACTAAAAAAATCTGATTTTTGCAATGGACTTCCCTCAAATACTGGATGACACATTCCGAGATCCCTGGCTCAATGCTGATCCTGTGTCATGCTCTGTATTGATTGTTTTCTTCACATCCACAATTTTGGGGTTTGAGGTAAAGCCAGTATGATCCTATCCTACCCTCGCGCAGATGTCGTTATCCAACAAGGAGGTTTTAGATGTAGTTCACTTACCGAGTATGGTCTGCTGCACCCTAGCCATTCTACAACATGGGACGTATCCTACATTACCCATTTTACTTCTCTAGGATTGCGTTTGTTATACTTATCTGGTTGGGATCACTTTCCTGACTTATCCTCTCCAACTCGCATGTGCTCCCTTTCTTTTCCCCCATGTTTGTTCCCAGCTGTTCATGGTGAGGGGATCCCTGATTCAGAAGTGGTGCAGTGCCCCTCCTCAGATCATTTGATCTGTTTTTCTCATTTACAAAACTATCCTTTGGATGCTTTGGGGGGGTATCCGTTCTTCCCTCACACTAGTCCCTCCTCCTCTTCAGTGTGGGATTCTAGCTAATCTCGTGAGAGGAGGAAAGTACCGTATTGGAAGTTATAATTTGTCTATATTGAAAATGTATTTCCAATAGGTAGTTCCCTCCTCTCACATTCCCCACCTTCCTCCCCACAATCTTCCGGTGCTTACATCATCTGACACTTCAAAGTGATGGTTTGGTAGTGGCACATAGAGGGAGTCACATGCGTCATGTGTTAGTAGTACTCTCCTTTTGATGGAGGATGATGCATGATGATTTACATGAGAGACATGTTGGAATCTTTGTTTCCAAGAGGGTGGTGT